CCAAACGAGCTGGTTGGCTTCCAGCTGAAGATAATAAGTATCCCAAAGCTAGCCATGTAGGATTTGGGCTTGTTTTAGGAGAAGATGGAAAACGATTCCGCACTCGCAGTACTGAAACTGTCAAATTGGTCGATTTACTTGATGAAGCCAAAAGTCGATGCAAAACAGTTTTAATCGAAAGAGGTAAAATAATAGTTGCTTCTGGAAAATCCTTCCATATGTTGTCTGCACTCCAATGATTATGCGATCTGTAGAAAATTAGATTTTTGCCAACTATCTAGTCATGATATTTTAGTGTGGCTGCCAATGTCTGATTTCAATTTTTTGGATCTGAATGGTCATGTCATGTATGGCCAGGTAAGGCTGACGAGTGGACCGAGGAGGAGCTGGACAGAACTGCAGAAGCAGTTGGATATGGTGCCGTAAAGTAGGTTCATTGCTCTGCATGCCTTTTTTCTTTATTTTTTGACATCTCCAGTTTAATTAGAGTGTAGAAAACCTAACGTACTAATTGGTGCAATAAACACAATATCTTGGTAAAAGGATCATGATATCTATTAGTATGTGATCTGGATTGTGTTCTGAAATGTGTTATTTCCAGTTTGAGATAAGTAAAGCAAACCTACCATATTTATTTGTCAGTGCGAGAAACTTTTAGCTATTCATAGAAAATAAGCTGGTGGAAGGATAAAAAATTTATCTGCTTGTTTAGTTCTAGATTTTAGTTGTGAATTTAGATTAGGTTCCACATATGCACAGGCATGTGAACATATACATAGCGTGTTGGTTTGATCGATGATGTGCTTATATTTGTTTGCTTACATTTTTACTGACATCTGAACTAATTTATTTTTTCGGCTATTGAACAGGTATGCTGACCTGAAGAATAATAGAACTACCAATTACACCTTTAATTTTGATCAGATGCTTAATGATAAGGTGGGTTCACATAATTTAATGCGTTATATAATGGGAAGAAAATATGTATGGAACAACTTTTAGTCTATGCATTGTTATAGTTGGGTACTAGGTATAGGATCATATTGATCTTGATGGCCGGTCCTTGGCTTTGATGAAGTATTTTATATCGATGTAGTTCTTAATCCTCCTAAATTCCCTTTATCATAGTGCCTATGCTGAGTGTTCCCTATTTCCTTCCCCAATTAGCCTCTTTTTTGACTTTTTTATGGCGTACTAGTATTATCTATTGAATAATCTTCAATCGTTCAGTTTACACCTGATTGCCTTTTCTTTTATGTTCAGGGAAATACTGCTGTGTATCTGCTGTATGCACATGCCCGAATATGCTCAATTATAAGGAGATCGGGTAAAGATATAGAAGAATTGAAAAAGGTAGGATACCATCCTTGAAGTTTTGTAAAAGCTACAATATGCCCCTGTTCGGCTCCTCTCTTCTAAAACTCATTTTCAACCACCCATTTCGTGGGATCCACAACTTTTATCAATTTTTAAACCATGCATTATTAATTTTTATTAAAATCTACTTAAAATTTGACTATTAGCTAAACAAAACGGTGGCTATATGGATAGATTTCCTACCTATATTTTTTCAATATGGGTTATATACTAAATGATATTTGTCATAGGTTAAAATATTATGCCTTTTATTCATTTAGGTCTTCATATGCATTATTCTAAATTGTGAAAGAAAATAATAATTCCCAGTAATCAACAATTTCCAAATTTAATCAATTTAACTCATCTTCAAATTTCAATTTGGTCTTTTACAAGTAGGGTACTTGCATCATTATTTTGTATTCAAACCTGACCTGAACATTTGATGATAAGCTTGGCTTCTCATTACTGGCCTAAAAGTGCCTCCAATTGTTAAGCTTGAAATTATTTAGCAAAATTGTTAGTGGCAGCTGAAAACATATTCAGCAATCATGTTTAACTGAGCTTAGAAAATAAATTATGTCGATTCACACAAGTTTGAATAACTTAACATTTTTCTCAGTTTTAAGTAAAAAGATGGAGTTAGTTATTTTGAAGGTAAATCTTATAGTCAAAATAAGTAACATTTGACTCCAATTTCTTACCAACGGAAGTTAATTATTTAAAACAAACTTATTTACTCATAACTGAACTATTGAAGCTTCGCTAAACGGATTCGAAGTTCACAGTTCTTTTTAATTTACAATTTGGACAAATTGTTCATTTTGTTTGTGATAGGTTGGAACTTTAGAGTTGGCTCATTCCGATGAACGTGTATTAGGACTTCATTTGCTCCAGTTTGCTGAGGTAAAAACTTTCCTGGGAGATATAACCGTGTATATACATGTTGCAATCCCTTGGATACATTGACATATTCTTATATTTACTTCATTGTATTATTCTTGGGTTTTGCTTTCCTTCCATCCTTTGCAGATTGTTGAAGAGGCCAGCACCAATCTTTTGCCAAATGTTTTGTGCGAATATTTATACAATTTATCTGAAGACTTCACGAGATTTTATACCAACTGTCAGGTATGATGCATAATTTATATTTCCCCAAAATTGAAGTGCAAATATTTAAGATAATAATTGAAGCATTTTTCTCTTTCGTAATGATGATTATGAGGGTTGCTTGAGAAGAAAGGGTAAGTATGTTGCTTGCTGGCTGGAGCTATTTATGTGCTTATCTAAATGAAATAGGTTTAAATAAGAAATCTGATTCCAAGTTCAGTTTCTGAATGAGAAGATTTGCCTTCATGATAGCTAACCCCAACGAGTCTGGAAGGCTCAAGGTTCATCTTGTTTTCAGTTCTGCCTGCATTACTGCTGCATATTAATCTGGAATGGAGTTATTGCTATTGGGAAGGGAATTTTTTTTGAGATTGTTCCCTATCAAACTGTTTATGAGTGCCACGTGTTGAAGCATGCTCTCTATAAGTTCCATCTCCCATATATTAGCTGTATTCTTGATTTCCTAAGTCTTAAATTAATAAATTAAGGCTTTATGTCACAAGGCATTCGCTGAATGGCATCTTTGTCAACACACAGATTATTGTCCTTGGCCACGAGTAGAGGTATGAAAATGGACAAGCAGTCCGGATAGGACTCTAATACAGGTTCTAATTGATTGATTAGACGTAGCCCTCTAGAAAAAAAAAGATCTTTATAACTAATATTGGAAAAAACTTGGAAGTCTCTTTAAGGCCTTGAGCGGGTCAGCCAAACTAGGCTAGACCCTGCTAACTTTAGCTGGCCTAAAAAAGAGACCAAGCGAGCTTGATTAGAATTCGATGACCAGGAACATTTTGTATTGTGCCATATTTTGCTGCGTACAACTTTTAATACCGTACAATATAATGGCAGATTCTTGTTAGTCTGGATTCTGATTACCCCATGATGAAAGGGCTTTAACAAAACAATTGCAATCGTGCTTATTAGTCTTTTCAACCTCTTGTTTGAAATCAATACAGGTTGTTGGCTCGGCAGAGGAGACAAGTCGACTCTTGTTGTGTGAGGCAACAGCAGTCGTCATGAGAAAATGCTTCCATTTGTTAGGTATCACACCTGTATATAAAATTTGAGCCGTTACGGAATCAAGCTATACGTATATTTTTTGTGTTCTAGCTGGATCACACCTTGTTTTAAATCGTTGAGAATCTTGATGGTGATCAAATGAGCTCTGGCCCTAAGATGGGTGTTTGTGGGAATTATTATTAAATGTTCCTTTTGGTTTGACAACCGAATATTTGTTTCAAGGGTAAGCCTTGAGCTTTTCTATTTTTATATTTGAAAGTGTTATTTGCCAGTGTTTGTGTTCTATTCTACAAATGCACGCTATTGTGTAAGTTCTACGACCGACCGGATCATACGACTTGGAAATGGAGTTATTATTAAATGTTCCATTTGGCTTGAAAACCAAACAAATGGTTATTAGGGAAATGACGCAAATGTCCCAAGCCTCTGTTCATTGTGTTTTTGGTTCAAAACTTTCAAATATGGTCAAATGATAAACTTCTTCATTTTTGGAGCAGATGGTCCTTTTGAATGAAATTATTCAAAAAGCCTGCAATATAGTTGCTTATATTTTGAGGGGCACTTTTGTCGAATATGTATTCCCCTCAAAAAGCCCCCAAAAAAAAAAAAAAAAAAAAAAATCTAAAGACGAAAATTTCAGCTTCTACCATCCGAATACAGCTGATCTCACCACTTCACACAACAGCCACGCCTGAATCACAGTATACGCATACCGTCTGGAAACTATCATTAGAAAATCATTTTGTTCCATATAAGAAGATAAGGAAGACTACAGTGACCATTGCACTGTCCTCACACTCAGAATGATCACACAGCCAATAATAACGTGCTGTCGGATGCATAAATTGCAGAGACCACTCCGGTGTACAGATACTTCACTATAAGCAGATCAAACTTACCTATAAGCTAAACCAGATATCTTTTATGTTAAGTATGCCTTCACACACACAGTTGAACGCTCACTGCCCCCATTTAGATATAGTATCATCCGTCTTGTCCCTTAACTTCATCATTTTATATTAAGGGATAATCGCAGCTGAGGTCCCAAACATTTCAAAAAGTTGCAAACAATTTTCTAACCTTTCAACTTTTGCAACCATCATCCCAAACCTTTGAAAACGTTGTGCATGAAGCCCCAATGAATGAATTCCATCCATATTTCTGTTAATTGACCAAAAACAACAAAAAATGATTTTTTTTCCTTTTTATTTTGTTTTCTTCAGTTTTTTTGTTTTTTTTCATTTAAATTTTTTAATGTGAAAAATATAAATTTACCATTTAGTCCTTTTATAATTGATTAATATCTGGTCAAAGTCCAATTTTTCGATCAACTAACAGAAATATAGATGAAATCCTTCCATTGGGGCTTCATCCACAACATTTCGAAAGGTTTGGAATGACGGTTGCAACAAATGAAAAGTTAGGAAAAAGTTTGCAACTTTTTGAAAGGTTTGGGGCACAATCATCCCTTATATTAATGGCAATACTACTGACAAATAATATCATAGAGATGATAAACAGTGCTGAGTTCGAATTGGGATTCATATTTGACATAATTAACATACAATCATCAGCTGTTGCTACTATACAGTGGAATGGTTTTTAATCATGCAGCAAAACTGGTACAAGGATATAAGACACGGATAAATTCATGATAGTAATCTAGCAAGTTCAAAGAAAAAGAAGATTAATGTAGGTCAATCCGTCTGCTATTAGCCACATGGAGTGAGCTTCTTGTTACCTGCACCACGAGGGTTGTCGTCTTTCCAGTCGTCCCACGCCCTTGCCTTCTCTTGGGCACCATCATCGTCTTCGTCGTCATCCTCCTCACCTGGCCTTGATTTCCTGTTATCTTTATACCATGAGGAGTTGGCTTCTTCCATAAGCTGCATATTCCTCTCTTGCCATTTATTCATTATTTCCATCTCCTTCAATCCAGCTTCCTCTATGCTCATTGTTGGTAATCTGCAAATTAGTACAAATTTTCAACAATTAAACACCAATTGCATTTTCAGTAAGGCTGATCACTGCCAAAGTACAATACACAAGATTTGATTTGAACCTTTTTTTATCTCCTTTTTAATAATGTGTTTTTTCTTCTCTTTTTTTAATAATTGTCTTATGTCGTTTGGTCCATCCTACCACAGGAAATTTTCCAATGAGCTATTAGCAGTTAATTAGTTTATTCTCCTTTTCAAATAGTTGCGTTGATTCCGTCCATAACGCAAATTAGCATACCTATAATGAGGCTGGAAAACCTGAGCTGCCATTCTTTCCCGTTCGCTTGTTGGGTTTTTTGCCACAAGACTTGTTGGTCCAAAAATCATGGGCTGGTGCTTGTGCTCGTGAGCCTGCGAAACATTAGCTCTCCCCTCTATAACATCTTGAGCAAAAGTAGCACATGTAATTGGAGGTGCAGGTTTTGTATATCGAGCTCGTGTTGCAGCATTCCGATGCCAGGTCTCGGCTTTCTTGGTGCGTTCATCAAGTGTAAGTTGTGAAATTTCAATGTCCCCTTCCTGTGGAAAATAGCATATCACCAGGTGCATCTCAATGTCTTAACTGATTATTTAGCATGACATTAGAAAGAACACTCTTAAGCAGCATGTTTGGCTATGCTTAGAAAGTTTACGTACAAGTACATAAGATTTAATATAAGTACTTCTTTAATTGGTGAAGGTTAGAAATAAGTAAAGTCCTAGTTTTGACCGTGAGGTAAAGAGTTACTTATGAGAGGAGAACCTCTTTACTTAAAACAAATAAAAACTAGTTAACAAAAATGTTTGGAGACAAAACGTTTCTTAAGAGTAACTTCACACTTTTTTAAGCCTTTTCGGTTTAGAAAGACATGCTTGCAATCTGGCACCGTTAATTTTGACCATAAAAAAGTTGACAACAAGCAACATCACATCCTATTCCTACCCCAAATTTAATGTGCTATACCTGTGACTGCTTTTCTTTTATAGCAGAAAGCATCTCTTCCTCTTTCTTCAGCATTTCCAACAGATCAAAAGCCTATATACAGTTTACGGATAGACATAATTATATAAAAACGAACTGGATAAAAAACAGAAAAAGAAGCAGCAGCTGGATGGCACAGAAAATGCTGAAAATTCGGACCAACCTTACAGAGCAACAAGGATATGGTAGCCAGCCATGCCTACAGAAACAGTAATAATAAGATTCAGCAAAAATTCATAGAGTTATGAGGAGGGCATAAACAAACTTACAAATGGATGAAATTCAACATCTTATATCCTTTAAGAACAGTGTAGCACTTTATGCATCAATATATATTAGTCTACTTGAGATAGTAAGTTTGTCAAAATAAACTTGACATGCAACTTGCAATTTCAAGAGGGGAAATGACGGGAAAAAGAAGTGCTCGGACATCCATAAATTGACATCAACGAGCATTTCCCCAGTAAATAAGCAACCAATTGAGCCACAGAAGAAGAGCCCACCCAATACAGAAGCCCAAAACCATTCTTAAAAGAAATTGTTCTTAAACTGTCTGTCCCTTCTATCATCATGTAAAACAGCTAAAATGGATTTGTTTATTGTGATACATAATTGAAGGCCTTAAAATTAAATTAATGAGTCACAACGCGTTCAAAGAAGAGCCACAATATAATACTCCTCAGGCACAGGACAAGAACTCTAAGTGAAACAACTGACCTCTCTTTCTTCTTCTCCATCATCATCAAGCAGATCTTCATCCCCTGACTCGACTGGAGTTGATAATGCAGAGGCTCTAGTGGATCGTCCACGGCGCTCCTTCCGCTCCTTAATTTCTAGCAATTTGGACTCAGCAGCTTTTTGACGTTTGAACCTAGCAATCTGGACAGGGTGATATTATTAGTAAATAAAGAGTAGTCAGTTTCATGCAGCAGTAAAAGGCAGAATGAGAGAGATGTTAGAAGCCTAATGAAATAAAGTAAGACATGGGATCCTTGGAAGTTGGAGCATATGACAATATAATTACATACCTTCCTAGCCCTCTGATCTGCAAACGAATTACCACCTGATTGTGCAGATGCTGCTATTTCATCTTCGGGAACAAGATCCATCTCCTCACAAAATGAGACAAATTCCTAATAGTAGAACCAAGGGAAAACCAAGAATTCATGGCATCAATCAGTTATGTAAGTACTGCTTTCACTAGCAATAAGAATTCAAAAAACGCATTTACAAGCTTTCTTAAAACATATTTGTGGTGAAAAACAATTACCTTCAACTTGGCCTGTGAAGCCATAAGAATTTGAATCCTGTCCTCTTGTGCAATTTTCTCCATTAATTCACCAAGATAATATGGCACCTGTATCAAACGTCATGAGGTTTAAATATAATCATTGACCAACTGTATCAAAACTTGTTATGGTAACATATAGACGTCATTTTTTCTACAAAGACTAAAACTAGAACTAAATCCCCGTTAAGCAATATGTGCTATATATACAATTAAATTGAAGAAAACCTGATTATGTTGAGAGAAGTAGCAACTCACAAGCATAATCTAGGTTGTAACCACAATAAAAAGTTCACTTCTTTAAATATTAGCAATAAAAACACACCCTTGACATAGTAAATTTACTTCTCATAGTCAAAACTTCATTTGACAAATAAATTCAAACTTCTAATCCATCTCATAGGTGAACCTTCAGTTTTTATTCTCTTATATATTCTATCATCTTTTGACATGCATTTTACAAATTGAATTAAATTCCCTACATGAAATCAATTTTCCCATTCATGAATGAAACATAATATTAATGATTTTTTCAACAAAAAATACTTCTCAATTGTAAATTCCACATCTTTTCCCACCCAAATATTCAAATTCATATTGCTTAACTAAAAGCATCTCATTTCACACCAAACATCATACAAAGCAGATCACATTTTCACAAATTCTAATTTCAGAAGCTAAAAAGTGGTAAAGAAATTCGTTAAAATTGATCAAAATTCTCAATTTCTGTTAAACACTTGCCAGAAGATATTTGAGATTGGTAGTGCTAATATCATCCTTAGTCTCATTTGACGAAAATAAGCCTAGCTTTTCAATCATATCCTCGCATTGCCTCAACAAGTCGCAACCTTTCTTCACCGTCTCCTGTAAAATAAAAAATCAAAAAATCAAAAATAAAATCTACAATCAATTAAAAATAAAACCAAAAATAACGAAGATTTGAATAAAGAAAAAAAACCTGAACGACGGATAATTCAGATGCGGCTTGGTGAATTTTTCGAGAAATAAGCCTAGCTTTTCAATCATATCCTCGCATTGCCTCAACAAGTCGCAACCTTTCTTCACCGTCTCCTGTAAAATAAAAAATAAAAAAATCAAAAATAAAATCTACAATCAATTAAAAATAAAACCAAAAATAACGAAGATTTGAATAAAGAAAAAAAACCTGAACGACGGATAATTCAGATGCGGCTTGGTGAATTTTTCGAGCCTGTTCGAACAGAACTGGAAGCGACATCTCCTCCATCTTTAATTCGCCCATCGCCGATTTCTTACTAATTTTTTAATACAAAAACCCTAGTTTCAAATTCGATAAAATCTGGAAAAAAATAAAATTCAAAAACTGAACCAAGAGGGATTCTGGACGAAAGGGTGAATTTGTGCCCAAGGCGTTTGTTAGACTGCTCAGTGCCCGATCCAGGAATTCGCGGGATTGAAATTGCGTGCGTGATAACTTGGAGGATCAGGTAACGTCGGAGCGGAACACGAAAATATACAGTGGGCTAGGAGTTGCAATTAATCGGCCCAACAACGAACGTCGTATGCTCGGCCCAGTTGATTTGGGCCAGGACTAGCACGGAGGCAATCTCTACTGGGCAGATGAGCCTGCAAAGATATTTCAATAAAATAGTAGGAAAAATTACCGCAAGTTTCAATTTCAAAAAATCATATACATATATATATAAACCTTTTTTCCCTCTCTATAATTGCAAAAAACATGAAGAAATTCTTCCTCTCACTCCCCAAACGTAAAAGCTCGTTGTCACATAGAGATGGCAATCGAGCTCGTCGGCTCGGCTCGAAAAAAGCTCGAGCCCGTCCGACTCAAAGCTCGAGCCGAGCTCTATTTTGAGGTGCTGGACAAAGCTCGAGCTGACTCGTGTGACTCCCTGGGAGCTCACGAGCCTATAATTAAAAAAAATATATACAAAAAAAAAAAGAAATATATTTTAAAAGGCAGCAGATTACTGCCAAACAAGGCAGCAACCTGGTGCCTTTTTTATTAATTAAAAAAGAGAAAAAAAAAAACCACAACCACAACCAAAATCGGCTCAGCTTGAAAAGGCTAGAGCCAAAGCTCGGGTTAAGCCTAATTTTTTTCGACCCGAAGAAAAGCTTGATCATTTTACCCGATTCAAGCCTAAGCCTTAAATTTCGGCTCATAAGCCATTGACATTCCTACTGTCACATCATTTTTTAAATAATCTCTCTCTCTCTCTCTCTCTCTCTATTATTTCCTTCCCACCCCACTCTATCTTCTGATCAAATTGATGGAAGCTCATGGTAGTAATAGATGTGGCATGGTGTGGGAATGTTAGAGAAGATGGTTCGAAACTATGAAGCTCACTTCCTGTGCCTGAAATGTGTATGTTCGACTGGGTACGAAGAACAGGTTTGTAAATTTGGATTGTGTGTGTTGTTTGATTATATAAGACCACGAATAGATGCCCTTGATGAGCATCGACGATCGGTATGGTGGTACCGGCATGGGCATCGCCAGAGAAGGTGGTGTCCCCCAAAAAAAAAGTCCGTAGTTACTAGTTTTTTGCTTGATTTTTGGCGTGCTTGGGACAGTATTAGGCCAGAATATTGGTCTGGGTTTGTAGAGGAGGTTTAGGTGGTCATGTTGGTAGTGGAATCTGACGGCTTGGGTTGTGATTGGTCGGAGATTGGAGGCTTCAAAGGTAACACACAACTGCTTGTAGCTATGAATAGTAGTGGTATGGTGATGCCGGTAGCAGTGATGGTTGGGAGTTGTTGTAAGTGTTGGTAGTGCACATTTGGTTCTTGACGTTGTTAAAAGTGGTGGTGGTGGAGTTGTAATGGCAACGAATTTGTTGTGACCAAGTTTATTTTCATTGTAACTGTCCGTGACCAAATTTATTTTAGCTGTGATTGTATGTGACTTTCTTACATACAGTTACAAATTAGACTAACACGATCACAGATTATCACACTAAAGACAAAATTGGTCACCATTAGTCACAGATGACACAGATCAGTGAAGGTAGTATTTATGGTCTTGAATTTGAGTTGAAAATAGTAGTGTTGGTGCATTAGAGGTAATGATGGTGGATTATGACTCAATTATATGCCGTTACAGTTAAGATTGACCTAATCACAAACAATAACACTAAAGACAAATTTGATCATAATTAATCATATTAAATACAAATTTAGTCACAGATAACACATGTCAGTGACTTGGTTACATATAGTTACTTGGAAATTTTCTAGGGATGGGGTGCGTAGAATGGTTCTATAGGGTAGGGTGTAATATCCAATTTTCGATTTGAATTTTTTTTGTGGGCTGGGGTATAGTAGGGTGGTTTCGTGGGGCAGGGGTATAACCTCCAATTTTTAATTTTTGAAATTTTTTGGGGATGAACGTGGGGTGGGGTTTGGTGGGGATATGAGAGTTCAGTAGGGTAGGGGTCTAATCCCCGATTTTCAATTTCTGAACAAATTTTGGGGATGGGGTGTGGTGTGTAATCTCCAGTTTTCTGAAAATTTTTCTTGGGGAGAGGGTGAGTGGAGATGAATTTGTAGATTAAATCTAATTTTATATTATTATCATTATTATTTACCACCTGATTTATAAAATATTTTAAGGCGTCTATTACTTGTAAAATGTGGTTTTTATATGTAGGAATTATGTATTGTTCCCAAAATAATACTTTAAAATATAGTTAATATTTCTGAATTATGGTGGTGCCGTCGCTAGCGACAAGTATGGACGTGGTGTATGGTGTGGGTGAGGTGGAATTGAAAGGCTGGGAAGATTAATGTTTAATTTTTCTAAATTTTTAATTTTAAAAAAGTTATTGAATTTTCTTTGCAATTTTTCCTTTTTTTCGTTGCTTTATTGCTTTTATTTTTATTTTTTGCTTATTTGAAAAGGAGGACAAATTCATCATTTAATTGGCCAAAATTGGGAAAATAACTATTTTTGCTACATAATTGAAAGGCTGAGAATAAATTATGCTAAAAATAAAGAAAATTTTGTTGCATATTGCAAATGTTGGAAACGAAAAGTACAAATTTCCCTTTCTTATTTGTAATCAATCGACAATGTGGACATTAAAATCAATCTTTTTGAACTGTTTTTCTTGATATGCATGAGATTAATATTATATAATGAAAAATAGACAAAAGGTCATCATGTGAAGAGATTCGTTTCACTGTATTTAAGATGTGGTGTTACTCAACTCCTAATTGAAATCAAGTTCCCTCGTGAGTTGACTTAAAGAGATTTGAGGATTTGGGGCTTCAAAATAAAGTTAGACACAATTTAAGTCGATAATTTTATAATTATTAGCTTTTGAAGATGAGACACATTATACGTTGGAGTCTTATCATAATAAGCATTAAGCAGGAGAACCACGAATAATCAATGAAACACAAAGATCTAAGAGTGTTGAATATGCACATCATCAACCAAAGTCATAATTTTTATTAATTTTAATAATAAACAACTTCATAACAACTAATGTCTTAATAACACTTAAATAACAAGATAACATAGAGAGAGCTCGACGAGAGCTTCAAGACAATAGGGTCTCTCGTGTCCGTAAGACACAATATAATAGGTACACTCCTCAGCCACAATACATCACTTTCTTGTTGTGCCTAGCTGTTCTTTTACGACATCTTCTCATATCGTTTCACGAATATTACAAGCCGACCATGGACATATCATACATGAAAGTGAGATGAAATATTCACATGAAAGTGAACATCAGGTTCCCATCACACCCTCTAACTGTTCCTACACACTATTAACCCACCAAATTATATTATATATATAATTTAATATTAAGATTCCTTACAAGGAAAATAAAGGATAAAAATAAAAACAAATAATACTTTATGGTTAACTTTAAATTCAATCCAGAGGTGGGGATCTATCCTGGTCACACATTCATGATTCCAAGGGCAGATCTTGCCATTAAAAATTAACAAGTGCCTGGCCAATTATAATTTCTCAATAACCTATAATTTCATAGTTTTGTACAGCTTTTTCTTAACAAAATTCCTTCTTTACAGAGCCTCGGAAAAGGGGTGCAATTTTATACATTAAAGTCCACCAATTATCAAGAAAATCCTCTACATACTCATCACCCTGGACCCATGATTTTGCTGATGAACACACAGTCAGATTCTTGATTGCATTTCTTGGTCTCTACACCAAATGCTCCTCAGAAATTCAATATCCTCTGGGTTAATTAATTTAATATACATATAGATACAATCAAGATAGATATAGAGTCTTCTTTGGTAGGACTCAGGAGATTACTTACACAAGTGTACAATAATCTTCCAAGATCTCTAACCTATGGTCCTAACTCCTAAGAACTTGCCTTAATTTAAATGTGAAAAGAGGTGTTTTCTTTGGCTTGTGTTTTATAGCATTCCAAGTGCTCGGCAAAGATTTCATATATTAACAACTTTTCGGGAATTTTTTTGGCATTTTCCCTCTTTTAATAGTATTTTCCCCTTTTTTTCTTAATATTTTGCAATGTTATCAAAACTAGCCCGACCCAAACTATTCAACCAATAAAACTGGAAAAATATTAGATAACATGCTCATTTTATAGATGTATTCCTCTCAAATGGTTTCATAAACTTCCAATATGTAATAGTACATTTTATAGATACACTTCTCTCCAATAATTTCATAAACTTCCAATGTGTGATAGCAGCATAACAAAAATGTTAACAAATTATAGAATAATGAATCTAATTAACAAATTATTAATATGAATTTTTTTAAAAAAAATTATTGTTTTCATAGTATTTTATTATTTTTTATGTATTTATTAAATTCGATTCGATCTTTTGACTATTGACCCTTCACCTTTTTTCAGGTCGATTTTCAAAAAATTGATATTTTGACAATATATAAAACTAATTTCCTGAAAGCATTCATAGTGTTCCACCCTACTCACATTTGTTGCTGAATTTGGACCACCACCATGAGCTCGAATTCTCGGATGCGGATACTAATTAGGTATGAGGATGTTGATTCTTTTTCTATCCCAAATAAATGTTCAATGCTTCGTGCATATGACGATCTTCTTTGTCTTGATTGGGTAGTAGACTCAATCCATGTGAGATCAACGTCGAAGATAATTAGATAAATGCTACTTTCCCTGCCAATTGTCATATATTCTTTGCAATGTAGAGCAAAATGATGTCATTTTAGACAATGAGATACAGTGCAATAGGTATGCATAGGGAATCGAGAGCTAGATGATCAAATATGGAATTCGGCTATTGAATGGAAAGGCATCCACAAGATGTTGTCCCTGCCCACTCACACACTTTTCACATACTTCGCGCAAGCTAAGCACACTTCTCTAACCCAAAAGTTGCAAACAAGTGACATACAAAGTCCAAGCATGTCCAGCTATGCACAGATATAACATAATAAAAGGGCAACACGATGAATAGATACAGGACCAATGAGATCTGACCTT